TCGCCCTCTCGCCCCGTCCTCTCCTGCTCCCCACAGGGCAGCGCGCCCCTCTTCCTGCGCCGGGGCTCTAGGCCCCCCGGACACCCCGCCCACCCTCGTCCCCCAGCCCCAGGCGGACGCCGCAGTACTCACGCCGCGCGGGCTCTGCCTCCCGCCGGGATGCTGCGGGGTGGTCGCCGCTACCCTCCGCGCCTGCTCCCGAGCTCCGCGCGGGTCCGAGGGCGCCGGGGCCCTGCGCGCCCAAAGCCGGCCGCTGGCCGCGCGGCGCCTGGATGGGATCAGGTGGCGGCGGCCGCTCGGCTGCGCTCCTCTCGGCTCAGCCCGCCGCCCGCCCCCCATCGCACACCGGAGGCGGGGCGGGGGCGGGGGCCGGGAGTAGGGGAGGGGCGGGGAGGGAAGGGGGCGGCGATGGCTGCACTGCCGGCGAACGCTGTCGGGAGCGGGGGCACGGCCCGGGATGTGGGCATTTTCGCCCAGCCGCCGCGCAGGGGCTGGGCACCAGCGTAGCCCGTCCTCTTGCCTCAGTGTCAGGAAACTGAGGCCGGGAAGATGTCTGGATCCTGGCCCCTGGTGGAGTTAGAGGCACAGATGCATTTAGGGCACCCACGTGCTCCCTCCTCCTCGCTTTCTCTTCTTTGCACCTCCGCACACCTCCCACCCCTCATCTGGGGCCATCTGCCCTTGCACCCTGGGACCTTTCCTTCCCACCTGCCTCCCACACTCCGCAGGACCTTCCTCGGGCTGCTGACGCACTCCTCCTGCCCTCCAGGACTCCTTACCAGGGCTTCAATGGGACCAGGACCCCTGCCCAGGCACCGCCCACCAGGAATCAGAGGACCCACGCATCCTGGCCCATCGTTGAGTCCCACAGTCAAGAGGCATCGTCTGAGCCCATTGTCTCTAGCTCCAGCTCTAAAAATGGGAACAAGCTCACCTGCCCTGTCTCCTGGGCTGTAGATTGGAGATGCAGGCCCTGTGTGCACTCCAAGGTATGTGTAGGCGGGTGGTTCTGAATTTCCCACTGCTTTCTAGTCCTTGAAGGCGCTCTGGTGGCATAGTGGGTAAGGTGTTTGGCTACTAACCAGGAGGTCAGAGGTTCAAATCCACCAGCTGCTGCTCCAAATGAGGTAGATGAGGTGATCTACTTCCATAAAGATTTACAGCTTTGGAAACCCAGTGGGGGTCGCTAGGAGTCTTAATCAACTCAATGGCAGTGAGTTTGGTTTTCGTTCCCATTTTTGGTTCTTAGTCCTTGGAGTAG